AATTTAATAAAAAAATTATTAAATAATTATTAAAAATGACATATAAAATAAATTTTGTACTAATTAATTAGTACTTAGTCAGGCTTCTGTTTATTTCAATTACAGCCCAAATTCATTGCAGCATACTATTGACCAAATTTTCGATAGTAAGTATGAAAATTTCTCTCCATAACTTCTTAATATACTACTCTAGTTCAGTAATGTTAGAAGGCATTTTTTTTAAATCACGGATGCTTTTCATGACATCAGCCCATAGATTTTCAATCAGGCTGATTTTTGAACTTGAGCGGGCTATGAAAGAACGTGCATATCATTTTCTGCATGAAAATTCTTCATTTGCTTCATATTGTAAGGTAAAGAATTATCCTCCTAAAAACTATCATTACTATTTTAAAATGCATTTTTAAAGTATGATTCATGTAAATAAGGTTCAAAATATCATATAATCGCAGAATTGCAAGTCACATGAAATTGCCAATATTGAATTGCATCTAAAAAGTGATATTCAGAGACTTTTGGCAGCTTTCTGTAAATCTTCATAACTAACTAATAATGAATTAAAAGTATTATTTATATTAAGTAAAAGGAATCAAATATATTTATTTTATTTTTTATATTAGTTAAATTAGTTATGTTTATTATAGTCAATAATTTTATATATTAAGTAACTTGTCTTGTCAAATGGTAAGTCTTAAATTAAAATAAATTAAGTCTTAAGATCTTATATAAATGATTAAATGTAAATGTTTATTATTGATTTTTATGTGCTGATTTAAAATTCCATTTTTGGTTAGTATAAGTTTTATCTTTATACTTATATAACAAAAATTTTATTAATTAGAAAGTTAGCGCAGGTAAATTGTTTTAATTAATTAATTATTTTTTTTTTGGAATTTGGATTATTTTATTTTCAGTTGGTTTTTTGATAATTTCAGATTGCAGCAGTAGTTAATTTTTCCAGTATGTGATAAATAATTTTTTTTTCTCAGTTTCTTTTTTACATTATTTTTTTTTGATTATTAAATTTTTCAAATTTATTTTTTTTGTTAGAGTTAGTCCAATTTTCTGCTAGAAATAGAAAAGTTCCATTTCAGTACCTACTTCAGCTTCTTAAAGTAAATTAGGACTAGAAACGTTAACTTAATTTATACAAATAGAGCATGAGATGTTGAAAATTTTTGATAGGGAAAAAAAATTTTTAACCTTAAAATAAACTTTCAAGATTTATAATATATGCTTGAGGTTCTTACAAAACTTCTAAAAAGAGAATATGATAAAGCAAAATGCAAAGGTTTATTTATAAACAAATTGTATAACTCGTGATAGTGAAAGATTCCAAATTTTAAAACTTGTAATTAGACTAAATCAACTGAATAAAAAACGCGCATATTAATATTTTAAATGATAAATTAGCAAGAACTTTGAAATATTTATACACTGATTAATTCCACTCGTCATTCCATATTCATAGTACTCTAAATATTATGTAAGATGGAGAAGAAATTAAAAATGACGAACAGAATGATAATTCAGATGATGACTCCAATGATGAAGCTTCATTTTACAAATCTGAATTTTAAGAAACAAATATTCTATGTTATATAGAATGGCTTTAATAGGTTTCCCTTACATTTATTCTATAAAATCGTTCTATTCATTTTAAACGCAAAATATCTTTTATGAGATAATAAGATAAATTTATATTTTTTTATCATATGCTACAGAAGTATAAACTATATTTGAATAAAAAATCAAATCTATTTTTTGCAGTAAGCTTTATAGAAACCCATTAATTTTGAAAAATATATCACTGTTAGATAGCAATTGTATATTTAGTATATAGTCAAAATATTTCAATGTTTGTAATATGATTATAAGATGATTAATAGAAGTATAAAATATGTTTGTAATATCTTTTATATATGCTAAAAATTGAGTTTAAAATTTACACACAATAGCATTTAATAAAATAATACAATCATTATGCAAATAAAAAAAAATTCGTACATAATATAGAAATATGTTTTTATGATATTATCATCATATTTTGTAAATATTAGCATCATAAATAACAATATTCAGATGTTAATATATGAAAATGCTTGGAAAATACACTGCTATCTTAATATTCATTTTCAGATTGAGACTTCAGAGAATAATTTGTACTACACATTACCACATCGTTTTGGTATTGAATTATTTCGTTTCTAAGAGAACTAAAATTTATAGATAAAAAATATAAAGCAATTTTATAAATGTATTTTTTCTAATTCATTTATAACTACACCAAGTGATACATTTACAATAATAAAAACAGAAATTACTTCTAATATAACAAAAATATTGCAAGGATATTTGATAAAATAAAATTTTACCCATTATTAATGATTTGTTGCTGATTTGCACTTGTTCAACCCAAGAGTACGCGTACTGATAATTCCTTTATTACACCAGGTTTTGTAGAGATTTTTAAGTCAATTGTGATTTCATCACGTTTTAATAACCTGTTGTGTATATTTTCTCGTTATCATGGCTATCAAGACCTTTTTAGTGACCATTAGTATGATGATGCCAAGTTTGGTAACAATTAATTGATCCTTCCTCAGCTTCAGTTGATCAGTTGCCTTTAAGTACATCAGAAGCATCTGTTTCCAAACTTCATCGGTGATATATGCATCTATTTCATTATACGGTTCTCTTGCACTATTTATTGATTGAAATATTAATTAATTTCAATCAATTAATAAGAAAAAGAGTAATTAAACAAAATCGTTGAATACAAACCTTTTATGTGTTGATAAGAATCCAGTCGTGAGCTTCACAATGGCAGCATGCAATCTGTAACAGTACATGTTGTACCAACTACCTACATCTTTAACCAGTGAACCTAATCTATCATCAGTTTTAGAGATATTACACATGCGTATAATTAACTCTTTGTATAAGTCAGTTGAATTATTTCTTGTTCGAAGAAATAGAGCCTTGCATTCTTCTTGTAATTGATTTTTGGTATGCTAATTTGAAATAAAGTAAATTAGTTAGTATTTAGCATAATATTATATGCAAAAATATCATCATTACTACCTGAAAAATTCCCGGAAGTGATTGTCGTGGTAACACATTACCATGTTGTAATGTAGTTAATGTCAAAATCATCCCATCAGTCCCAATCCTATTCATCAGCCATTTCGAATATTTATTGCCAGCTCCAGAACACTTGTGTGGTGAGCTAGCCAATAAGCTATTACAAACTCATTGGACATGCTTTGGAATTGTGTTGGTAGCTTTGGCTGTAAATCAACTCCGATATCGATGTCATCGATTTCCCATCGTATTCCTTTCTCAGGTGAC